CTTTTGAAAATACACTGTTTTTCTCATTCTTTTTCTTCTGAATATTTTTACCTTAGGACCGGGTATGCTTATGGTTAGCATGCCAAAATGCAGATCAATGGGTTCAAGGTTTAAGACGTTATACCACTTAAAATGCGCCCCACCCTCAGCTGTGAACATATTATAAATATTAAAATGCCTTTAAAAACTTCCTTGGGTGTATGTAAGGAGAGGGGGTGATGCTACTGGCAAGCTGCCCTCTATCTCTGAATCCTAGGGTTCTCTGACCTGCTCATTTCGTCCACTTACGTGTTGCTCAGTTGAATTTCCAATTATCTCCGACTCTTAGGGTTCTCTGACCTGCTCATTTCGTCCACTTACGTGTTGCTCAGTTGAAATTCCAATTATCTCCGACTCTTAGGGTTCTCTGACCTGCTCATTTCGTCCACTTACGTGTTGCTCAGTTGAAATTCCAATTATCTCTGACTCCTAGGGTTCTCTGACCTGCTCATTTCGTCCACTTACGTGTTGCTCAGTTGAAATTCCAATTATCTCTGACTCCTAGGGTTCTCTGACCTGCTCATTTCGTCCACTTACGTGTTGCTCAGTTGAATTTCCAATTATCTCCGACTCTTAGGGTTCTCTGACCTGCTCATTTCGTCCACTTACGTGTTGCTCAGTTGAAATTCCAATTATTTATCTTTTCGTCTTTTGCGATTTTGTATGTCTTTTTTTTAGCTATAAATCGTATAAGTAAATTAAATAAATAGTTTTCAAATGAAATCAATTTGTATTTTACCAGAGTTAAAGTTTTGGTTTATTATTAAAATTCTGAAGACATTTTCATAATTAATGGTAAATTAACGAGAAAAAAATGGATACTTGTTATTATACTTTCACAATGCTAACAGCCGTCTAGATTCAGATTTTTTGATGATTAACATCTTCATGTATTCTTCATCAAAAATGCTTATATTTTAAGCTCATTTAAAAATCGGGTCAACTAAACATAGATTTAAATTTAATCTTAAGTTCTGAGAACAGAACATTCGTGGTGACTGCCGTGCCTGCATGTAATCAACTATTGGTATACTCTTTTACGATCGAATGGCGGTACTTAACCGTCACTCGTAGAGCACATCCACAATCCCAAATTGCGGAGCGCGTGTTTGCGGCAAGTGGAATTTATCACGCTAAACACAACCCTACACTCAGCCCTTAAAAACCATGTGATTGAAATATAAGCGAAGATAAGTTTTAAAAAAATATGAGAGAGAGAGAGAGAGAGAGAACAGAAGTAATCAAAGAATGCATGAAAAATTCTTTGGTGTTTAGTAAACATTTTTATTTCATATTAAATAACTGAACGAAGCTAATTCGATACCAGCATTGGCAAATAGTGAATTGATAATTCTACTGACTTTAGAAATTTTCAGGTCATGCTTTGAAATGCAAACACAGAAGTTTTGATTACTAATTAAATAAATACAATTTCCTGATTTTTTTTTTAGCCGATATGCGTATTCCAGTAAGTTATTTTAGAAATGGTGATGAGTACCAAAGCAAATAAAGTATTTATAACGCAGTTTTTACAATACTTAATATTCTGTTAAATTATGAAAATAGTTTTAAAAATCACAGGATATGGGAGAAGGTTGGTGTATTTTGTGAATTTGCATAATCGTTCCGCAGATATACTGAGTATGGTATAAAATTCTCTAGAAACTCACCCCTGATGGCAATACACTGTATGCGTATATTGCATGAATAGCCCCCTAGTGGCACAGCGGCATGTCTGCGGACTTACAACGCTAGAAACTGGGTTTCGATACCCGTGGTGAGAAAAGCACAGATAGCCCATTGTGTAGCTTTGTGCTTAACTTCAAAACAACATTGTATGAATAATCACTACGACCACTCAACCTTTGAAAAATTGAGAATTTCTTTTTTATTGGGCTATCTGTGCTCTGCCCACCACGGGTATCGAAACCCGGATTCAAACGTTGTGAGTCCGCAGACATACCGCTGTACCACTGGGGGGGGGGGCTCTTTTTTAATGTAAACTCTTATAGAGAAAAATGCTAAAGGCTAAATGCTCGTTAAACCGACATAAAACGGGATGATAAAGTTATGGAATTAACATATTGAATCTTTCTTATCTACTTAAACTGTTCCAATGTTTGATTTGGAATGCCGTTCGTTTGCGATTAAACAACACCTTAACTAAATACGATTATCAAATCTTCAAAGTGATAGCATAAATATGTTTGATTATATACTAGCATAACATACCCCTACCATATTCACAGCGGTCGCAGTATACCGATCAAGCTCCTCAGTTAACCACAGTTACTTCTATAACTACCTCAAGCGGTCTGTTTTGTCTGGATAGGTATTTTGATCGTTGTGCGCAACCTGGGAAGGTCAGGCTCTATTCAGACCTTTTCCTTCTCCTCAAGGGGTGTTAGTATATTTGTGTTTGAATTTCTTGCAACGCTACTCAATGGCTATCTGCGCTAGCCGTTCCTAATTTAGAAGCGACAGACTAGAGGGAAGACAGCTAATCAACACTACCCACCGCCAATTCCGGGGCTACTCTTTTACCAACAAACAGTGGGATTATTGACCGCCGTACACTACACCGTCCCTAAGACTAAAAGGGCAAGTATGTTCAGTGACGGGGGGGGGGGTTATACACGAAGAAAAAACCCATTAGGGCATCCGACCATATTAACACAGTTTCAAAAATGGCAACCCTGGAATTCAGAGAATGACCATGAAAACAAATTCCATTGCTAGAAGAGAGTAGAACAACCTAAAAATTTATTTCTAGACCTGGACGCGTTAAAGTCTCCTTCATACCACAAATAAATAAGAGTAGGGGCCAAAGCGATATTGATAAGTACATCCACGGGCTACCTTAAGTCTACCAACTAAGTTTCGTCCTCCTAGTACAAAATATGTGGGAGGGGTTTGCGGAAACACAAATTCACAAACACGCAGCATAAATTAATGTACGGTAAATACTACTTTGACAACTCAGTAAATCACAGTAACAGCGAAAGAGTCTTACTGTAAATCTTATAAGGCTGGTCTTTGCCAAATACGTTTTCATTTAAGTTAGAGAATGTAAGACTTTAAGTGAAAACACAAAATAACCCGACTATAGTGTTTAAGTTTTCGGCACATGCAACTCAAAACAAATTATAGTGTTCCAATACTTTTATATAAAGTATCTTTAGCTATTCACATTTATTTTTTATATATTTATTGCAGATGGAATTAGATGGCACAAATGAATAATAAACCAATTTCTTAACCCAAATCCTGTTACTACACACAACCTTAAAAAAAGCGAGGTGCAATCAACAACAATTACAATAATGATCCAGCTACAAACCCTCCTTCTTCCCACTGTAGTGTCCTGAAAAGGTTATCCAATAGAATGTTTTGAATTATACGAGACAGTTTTTAATTTTTAAAAGTACTTACTTTTAGTTTTAGTGTCTTGTAGACGTAAAAATATGGCATTATGATCGCCTTCCAAACTATTTTTGGCAGAAACAGTTTTTATTATGGTACAAGAAACTTCTACCTATTGACTTGATCGTATTAATGTACCTAGAAGTGCATTATAGTTATATTTTAATAAATATTTTATGGTTTCGAGCTATAAGCCAAACTACAGTTTTTTGTTGTGAAATTTAAGACATATATTTGGTGCTCGCTCATCAGAACGTCATCAACGTAACCTACCTATGGTTCCTGATGATAGTTGTATTTTTGCATAAAAATAGAAGAAGCTTGGGAACGACCAGAAAATCATATCTATATTTCAGATTGACATTGTCTGATAAATTCTCGTTCTACACTTAAGTTTGCAAAAATATTACAATATATTTTATAAGAACAAAATTGCATGTTGCTTTTCTGAGAGTCGTTGCGCAACACGTCACTTTACGTCAAGTAAAATCCAGTAATAACAGTAAATAATTGGTGTTTAGAATGAATAAATAATATTATGTTATTAATCCTTATTCTAATTATTATTTGTAAATAGCCCATAAGAAATTAATAAAGTTTACACTTCACCAACTTTAATTTAGTTGACACCATAGCAGCTATTGTAATTTGATAATATAAATAACTTATCAACCAGTAATGGCGCTAATAGCTATGGTACTGGTGTGATGTAATTTTTGGCGCTTAGCTAGCAATAATGGGTTTTCTACTGTACTTTCGTTTTCCATACGTAATAAATTATTTCATTGGACTCGTCTCCATTTGAAAAAGCGGCAAGTTTACAGACTTGCAACACTAAAATCCGGGGTTTGGTTTATCGATCCTTGCATATTTTTGCTCACTCTCGCAAAGCACTCTCTGTATACCTCACCAACAGGACGAAGGGGGATTTATTTAATTTCCGAGCTCTCCAAGTCCTCAATCACAAATGTCTACTATGACAACTACTATTATTACTATGTACATCATGTTCTGGCACCTAATGAACCCTGGTATTGGAGTAAAGGCCTCGTCATATAGCATTAGTTTTTAGATATAATAAACGGGAATATATAATGTATAGGTTTTTTATCTAACTTGAATTTTAACACTCTTTTTCAAGTTCCTTCGTTTCTAATACGAATCGAACCGACAATCAATTATTTGATTGTCACTTCAAAATTAATGAAGCAAAAATTTTGTCAGCAACGATAACAATCGTGAAATTCACTTCCCCTTTTTCTTTTAGATCTGGCAGTTAGAGCACTCGACTTGTAATATATGGGATACAAAACCGCCATCAAACATGCTTGTCTTTTCAGTGTGGAGACATTATAATTTGACGGTCAATCACACTATTTGTTGGTAAAAAAGCAGCCTAAGAGCTATAGTCTGTCACTTCAAAATTAGGGATGGCTAGCGCAGATAGCCCTCGAGCAGCTTTGCGCGAAATTTTTAGTTTTATGCATAGAAATGAAAAATATGATATACAAAGGAAGTACATTACACATTATATATATATTTAATGCATAATCAAAGTCCTTCTGAAACACACTTATTCGTCATTTTCAAAATAATTAAAGATTATTGACCACATTGTTGGCTGTGACGCAGTTAAATTTCATACCGAATGGAACTGAGATAATTTAGAATTCTCATGATTACAGTTTCGACAAACCTTAACCAAAGAAAAAAAATTGAGCAGTTGTATGGAGAGAACTAAAGATTTGTACGAAAATAGATTTTCCTTGTGATCATGGAAGTCATGCACAGTGTCTCTTGTACATTACCCTTACATAGATCGACTGGCGTTAAAGGTACTTTCATATAAGTTAATTTTCGGTTCACTGCCGTCATTATACTCTGTAAATCCATGTCGTTGGAATGTTTCTCCAACATTGTACACAGCGCCTGCACAAACAATGAACCTTTGCTGATATTTGTTAGAGAATATAGCCCAGGTAAAGTGGCATCGCAGATGAGGAAATCAGCTTGTGTTGGTATGGTGTAAACTTTTGAAACAGCATCTACCTCATCTTTACTTTTATCAGCTTCATACTTTTGGCAAGCCTGTATAAAAAATATTTTTGGTTTACTTGCTAAAGTGGGAGATTTATCCCCACTAAATGGAGAAAACACATTTTCAATGCATATCTTACCATCTCGACCATACAAGAAACCTTTTTCTCCACGAGTTAAGATACAACAAACAAAACTATCTCTGTTGGAATGATTTTCAACGGCCACTTTTTCCAAATGTCTTATTAGTTCTTTCGAAGTCACGTTTTTGTACAATATTACCTCAAATCCCAGTTCACTAAAACAATAGTGTAGTTGGTCACTGTCCTGATCTGACCACGTCGTGTCATCCAGACCTGTGTGCGGATCAAATTCGTTAATGTTGAATATTAGACACTTTCCCCTCTCAGGATGGTCCATTTTGTATTCTTCGCTATCAGGTGGAATTGCTAGGTAAGCAGTCGGTGTGGATTGTTGTCTAAAACCAGACAAGACTTTTGCATCAGGATTATCTTCTCCAGCCTTGGTTTCAATATTTGTTGAATAGAGATTTGAAGACATCTTATGTGAGTCTGTAGACAAATAACATTCATAAAATAATTTAAACCACAATCCGTTAAGATTAGAATATGTTCGTTTTTATTTTATTTTTTCATTTATTGTGATATATTCTATCAAAAGCAATAAACGAAAGAATTAAAACAATCAACAGACAACGATAAGAGACTGTCGTCACCTCGTAGACTCTTGACAATATAATGCTGTAATCGTATTGTTGATAATTCTTTTTATAAGATAGAATAATATATCTGTTGTCCTTTCACAGCTTCTTGTGGTACTTTATCTCTCCAATTCGTGTGTTCACCAAAAAGGAGTTATTACAATAATCTGGAGTTTTAAGATGTTATTTACGCTTTGGACAGTTGGTCATCTCCTGAATAAATGTAACATCCATTCTCTAGTATGCGCTAAGCAAACTCCTAATAATACTGCAAACTTTATAGAAATAATTGACGTTTATATTAAAATGTTGATCGAATAACAAAATGTCCTCACTATGAGAAATCTATAAATCATCAACAAGAAGTAATGAATACTTTAATATTTCGCCCATGAATATTTTTAAAGTGTAATTTAACAGTAGAATTATATATTAATACATATGGCAGGGAGACTGGTGTTGGTTAAAATGAGAAAAAAAAAAGATACTCACAGGAAAGGGAGAGTAAGAAAACATATTTTTAAGATAAAACAACAATATAGTGAAAGAAAAGGTATTATTCACGTCAGAGACACCTTATAAAGATTTTATAGAATAAAACCGAGTTCCCAGGGCACCTTTTTTAAATAATATTAATCGGGAAACTGTTTGTCTTTGCTTGTGCTGAGTTACACCCTAACAATGTTATTGTAATCAAGATATTTGATGAGAAAACAAAAAGGAGTTTAATCCAAGACGAAATTGAAAATGATTAGTTACAGAACAGTTCTACATTATGTCCTGAACATGCCTGATAAAAAAATCTAAAAGTTGGTTACATTTTACAGTTAAAATAATGATAAAATAAGACAGACAGACAGATACAAATAAAAATAAGAAAAATGTTGCTAGAAAAATAAGAGAAGGAAGGAGAAATAGGTTTTAGTTTGAGTTGCAAAATATAGTTGACGAAAACTACCGTAAAGTTTTAATTATAGTATTTTGGCACTTGTGTATAAAGTTAAAATCATAAATAATATTCAACGTGAAACTGGTACACAATTAAAAACATTTTATTTAGGCCTATCTATGGCCTTTTTCTCATCCTGAGGATGACGTTGTAACGTCGAAACATGTAGAGTCGTCAACTTTTTGA